CATGGCATCTGGTCCCATTGCTTCATGGCAAATAGATGGGAAAACAATGGAAACAGTGACAGATTTATTTTCTTGGAGCTCCAAAATCACTGCAGACAGCGACCATAGCCATGAAATTTAAAGACACTTGGTCCTTGGAAGAAAAGCTATGACCAACCTAGACAGCATATTAAAAAGCAGAGACATTACTTTGTCAACAAAAGTCTGTCTAGTAAAGGCTATGGTTTTTCCAGTGTTCATGTATGGGTGTGAGAATTGGACTATAAAGAAAGCTGAGTGCAGAAGAACTGATGCTTTTGACCTGTGGTGTTGGAGAAGACTCTTTGAGAGTCCCTTGGACTGCATGGAGATCCAACCAGTCCATCCTAAAGGATATCAGTCCTGGGTGTTCATTGGAGGGACTGATGTTGAAGCTGAAACTCCAATACTTTGGCCACCTGATGCAGAGAGCTGACTCATTTGAAAAGACCCTGATGTTGGGAAAGATTGAGGGCCAGAAGACAAGGGGACGACAGAGGATGAGATGGTTGGATGTCATCACCGACACATTGGACATGGGTTTGTGTGGACTCTGGGAGTTGGTGATGGACAGGGAGGCCTGGCGTGCTGCGGTTCATGTGGTCGCCAAGAGTCGGACACAACTCAGCGACTGAACTGAACTGAATGTTCTTTTTTAATCAGACATGTACAAATGCCAGAGCCTTGAATAGGAAAAAAATTACTAGGCTCCAGAGACATAATTGCCTAAGCTGGTCCTTGTTCTTATAAGCACACAGAAGCTGGTGGTAAGAGATGTGTAAAAACTTAATTTCAAATGAAATAAAGAGGTAGAAATAAGCTACTGCAAAAGCCCTAAAGGAGCATAAGCCTTTCTAGTGAAAGTAGAGAAAGAATCACAGGAGAAGGTAAAGTCTGACCTAGATTAAATAAAACAAGGAACTTGAAGGCTACTGAGGCAGAGGTAGATGAAGTCCAGAAATCAGCACTCTAGGCGGAGCAAGTATGCTCATAGCAAAGTGCTATATCTCACTAGGTGTTAGTAGAGTAACATGAGAGATGTTAAGGGCTTGTTGTCTAAAAGGAACAGGGCTGAGTAGCAGAGATAATGACCTGAAGAGGTGTCATAGCATATCCTTCTCAGTTCTACAATCTGTATTTTAAAGCATGTCTCAAAAAAAAAAAGAAGAAAAAATAAAGCATGTCTCAAGGTTCTACACATTTGGGGAAATTTCGTCATAGTTGAAAAATGATTAAAATGTCAAATGTAATCCATATATTTAATTTCACTCCTTCCCAAAGTTCAAAAAAACCCAGAGCAAGTGGAGTTTTAAGTCATAAACTCACAAGGATAAACAGAATAAAGTCAACAGCAACAACAAACCTTTTGGACATTTGGGGATGTGGAAAACAGATAATAACTGGAAAAGGTAAGCCAGGGAAGGCTGAGAATCATTCTCATTTATACTGAATAATACTCACAATACATAGGAACTAGCCATACCAGGTACTTATAGAAGTGGATAAAGTCAAAAGAGATGACTAAAATAAGGAAGACTAAGTGAAAGGGTTTTCAGAAGTAGTTAGGTATTAGGTTCCAATCTCCCACCCTCCATTCCACATCTTTGGGTGATTGCTTCTCCCCTACTCAAAAAGTCTAAAATTTTGTTCTCTGTAAAGGGTAAAAGAGCATCTCTGGACTAGGGAATACCAGGCACTGTTGAAGGTATGGCTATCATGTGAAAAACAAGAAGATTAAATGACCATATGCATGCTGAATGCCATATGCAGTAACTGCCAGCACTCTCCCCACTTGGCTACCAAAATGCACCAATAACCACATCCTTATCCTCCAGGCAGGATACTGAAAGATAATTCTCTGGAGAATCTGGCCAATTCAAGAAGAAAGACTCACAAATAATTACATCAGAGGTTCCCTGATTACTGTCCCACCCAGATGCCTGAAAGTAGAGGTTAACAAGTCTGACCTTCCCAGACTCAGCTCTCATAAACTCACAGGGAAGCTTGAGCCAGACTATGACCAAGAGACTCTGTTCAGCTTACCCCTCCTGGGTATCTTCACCTAACAGTAACTTTAGTAACCAGCTAGGTATGTGCTGGGCACACTAGTTTTCAAAACAAAGTAATATGTATTCTTTAAGTACACTATAATGAAAAGCAAAGGAAAGAGTAACACAAAAGTCAGGGTAGATCCATGGCTGACTCATGTCGATGTAGTGAAAACCACCACAATATTGTAAATAGCCTCCAATTAAAATAAATAAATTAATTTTTTAAAAAGTCAGGGTAGATACTATCTATAGTGATGAGGGAGGGGAATGCAAGTGGGAGGGGGCACACAGATAACTTCTAAGGTACCAGTACTGTTCCATTTCTTAACAAAAGTATGGTTTTACTATTCTTTATACTGTACATACAAATTTAATATACTCAGCTACATAGATATATTTCACAATAAAGTTTCAATTTAAATAAAGAAAATGAGAGAAAAGAAAGCAATCAGAAACAGAAAGGATGCAACCCCAATACTATAACAGGAGGGGAGGCTGGGGATAGGATTCACTTACCATTTCATATGCTACTTCCTCAGGTGTATCTGTTTCTAAATTGAAACTGAATTCAATAGCTTCATTATCTTTATGTTTGCCTTTCAATTTTTTAGGGTCTTCAACCCAGAGTCTTAAAGCCAGGGATGAATTTGAGCAATCATCTTCCTCTGCCAACTCCACTCTTAGTCCTGTATCCTCCGCAAAAAATGCGTGGTTTAGAAGGTCCCTTATAGACAACCTAATAAATAATATACAAACCTGTTATCAATTCTTCCAATCACAAACAAGATATAGAACACTTAATCAGTAAAAAGTCTGTCAAAGCAACAACTTTATTTAAAATTTTCTATTAACTAAACCATTAATTTGTCTTATTATAAAACCCTAACTTATATCCCACTTATCATTACCAAGGATGCAAAGAAACCTCGATTAACATGCATTTGTAGTGATCTTAATTAAGGACCATTAACAGTAACATATCCAGATACTGAAGTTTAACATACCTAAATGTACGCCTAGAGATAATTTGAAAAGTGCTTCAGTACGTTAGATGGATTCAGTATCTTCCCTAAATCACTGGCTTAAGTCACTAAAAGTCTAACAATGGATTGTCAGCAAGGAAACTAAAAACTTTTCCAGATATATAAACTCTAAAGTAAATTAACAATTCAAACTTTTCTTTTTTTACAAAATTTATAAACAGAACTCATTAACTCAATTAACAGTAATCTAGTCTGTGTACTTCATTCACTCTTTAGAGAATGCCATGGGTGAAACTAATTTAGCTCATCAAAGTCATACAGTTTTTTTGAAGTATTTAAGGCCAGTGTCCTAGGCCAAAGTATACACATAATGACTACAACTCCAGCCTAATATTAGGGATTAATCTAATATTATGTTAAGAGAAGAAAAAAAGACAGAGGTTCAAATTTTTTTTATATGTTGGGAAAGGTAATTTCACTTTCTTTGACCAACTTCTAAAATAGAGAAATAATATCTAAATTACAGGCCGGTGAGAGCTAAAACTGATATATTCCATAATGTCTATGTAGAAAGCCCCTCCTATACTATTTAAAACAGAAGCTATGACAAACCTAGACAGCATATTAAAAAGTAGAGACATTACTTTGCCAACAAAGGTCCATCTAGTCAAAGCTATGGTTTTTCCAGTAGTCATGTATGGATGTGAGAGTTGGACCATAAAGAAAG